CCCCCCCCAACGCCTCCCTCCGCTTGGTCTCTCTCTCCTCTCTTACTTGCAGGCACGGCCCTGCTCTGCCTGGGCTCTTGGCTCCTGGAGCTGCCCCACACTGACGCCTTGCTCGCCCATGGCTGATGGCAGGTGCCCCTGAGCAGAGGGGTGACAGCTGATCCCCCCCTCGGGGACAGGGCAGGGGTCCCTGGGGGATGCGCAGGGCAGCAGTCACGGCTCTGGGGTGAGGGGGGTGCTCCAGGACGGCGGTGGGGGAGGGGGGTGGGGAGGTGTGGGGCCATGAGACACCCCCACCATGAACCTGGAAGGCCTTGAGATGATCGCGGTGCTGGTGGTCTTGGTCCTCTTCGTCAAGGTGCTGGAGCAATTTGGCCTCTTCGAGCCAGTGTCCTTGGAAGGTAACGGGCGCGGGCGGTGCTGGCTCCTCTGGGAAGGCGGGAGGCAGCTGGTGGGGGTCCAGAGCTGCCCCCCAAGGATGGGATGCTCCAAGGGTGCTGCATCCACGGCAGAGTCCTGGGATGTGGTGTCCATCTGCTGCTCATAGGGGCGAGCAGGGAGGTCCTGGTGTGAGGAGCGGGGTGTCTGTCCTGTCTGCTCCTCGCAAGGTCCCAGTGAGTGGGGCCGTGGGGAGGGGACAGGGCTGGCAGGGTGCCTGCTGCACGGTGGTGATTTTGGGGTGTGCTGGCGTGCCACGGACCGGGACTGTGTGTGAGCGTGCAAGTGGGCACCAGGGTGTTTTCCAGCACCTTTACAGGGACAAGGTGTCCCCTGGGTCCGTGGTCACCTCACCCTGAACAGCACAAACATGAGCTGGCAGATGCAGCATCAGCCTGCAGAGCACCCCCAGCCTGGGCAGGATGGGTCCCTGCTGCACTCCTGGCTCTGGGCTCTTCTCAGAGCCCCCCCAGGTCCCTTGGGTTGGGTGGGGGGACACATGAGGTGCTGCCCAGTTGGGCAGGGACCATGCAAGGTGCTGAGTGGTGTGTGTGGGGCATGCTTGGTGGAGCCCAGATCTGCTCAGGGGACTCAGTGCATGGTGGGACGGAGCTCAGGACCACTTGGCCAGGTGCTCCCTGGACTCCCAGGGGTGATGGTTGTGAGAGAGGTGCCCCCAGCCCTGCCCAGCCCCTGCCATGTCCTGTAGACACCCATCTGAAGGATGCTGCCTGGACCCAGGTGTTGGGGCACACACAGGGTGAGGAGGTGACAGGCAGTTTTCCTGATCCATTGGTGCCCCCAGATGCTTCACTCTCATTCTGCAGCACTGTCTCTTGCACTCCTGAGCTGCTCTGCCTGGGAGTGGGCAGGAAGGGGACAGATGGGGGGATGACTCCCCCTGGCCCTGTAAACCTGCTTGCAGGACAGGAGAGCATGGTGAGTGGAAGCTTTTGTCACTGCTTAACTGCTTGCTTTGTCCCTGTGCTCCAGCAGCAGCGCTCCTAGGTGGATGATACCAGGAGGGAAACTGAGGCAGGAGCTGAGCTAAGTGCCAGGCATACTGTGTGTGAGCCACAGGGGTGGCCTTGCTCCCTGTGCCTGGATTGCATCTCCCCTCCCCAGCTCTGCTGGTGATTTGGGGGGAGGTGTGCCTCCCCCAGACCCTGCTTTCCCCTCTTCCCTTTGCTTTTGCTTCCTTTTCCAGCTGCTCAAAGCTTTGGACCAAAGTTGGTGGCAAAGATTGTGGGTGCTCTGCAGCACGCTGGCTCCCAGTGGCGGTGGAGATGGGAGAGGCAAAGAACCCCCCCGGCCCCTGCAGCAACCCTGCTGAGGGGGGCAGGACAAGGCAGGGGCTACCCCTTGGCCTGTGTGGCTGCTCCTTCCCTGAGGCACACTCCTTGTCCCCCTGCAAGTGACTTTGGGCCAGAGGTTGGAGATGGGGTGTCCTGTGTTCAGCCTTGTACCCGTCAGCCAGCACCTCCAGGTGCTGATGATCCCATCCCTGATACCACCAGGGATGGATGATGGCATGCCTGTCTCCCATGAAGGACCAGCCTTGCCACTAGTCCTCTCTCATCCCCAGGAGGACACGGTGGCACCATGTGCCATGGGAAGGCACAGCCTGCCTTGTCCCCCTCCACCCACACCCCCAGTCTGGGGAGCTGTGGGTCCCCCTGGCCTGGCTGGAGATTTGCCCCAGCTGTGGTGGTGGGAGACCCAGATGTCCCGGATTGGCAGTAATTGCTCCCATCACCAAAAGGTGCCTGGAAGGGAGAAAAAGGTGTTGCTCAAGGGGCAGAAATCAGCTGAGGGTGGAGCGGAGCCCCAGGCGCTGTACGGGGAGTCCTGTGGGTAACTGGTTGCACATTGGGATGGGGGTGAGATGCTGTTGTGTGGGTCACCCCCCCCTGCCCCTCAGGAGGCAGCAGGAAGGAGACTTTGCTCTCCAGGGAAGGTCCCAGGGGTTGTCTGGGGCTGGGAAATGCTGAGTCCCCTCTGGGGCTTGTTTACCAGCCGTGCCTGGGCCAGCAGTGGCAGCCCAGGGGACCACAAAGAGCCTGAAACCGTACACTAATGGCTCAGGTCTGCTAATGGACATGAGGCCCCACCACCTGCTCCGGAGACATCGATACCGCCTGCGGCACTTCCCCTGCCCCAGCTGCCACCCCCCCTCTCCCTGCTCCATCCCTGATGGTCCCCTGCATGTGGCTGTCTCCCTGCCCAAGCTCTGCTGGTGATGTCCCCGGGATGGTCTGTGCTGGGAGGTGGTGGGCCTCCACAGGGATGGTCTGGTGATTAAGCATCTCCAGAGGAGACCAGAAAAATGCCCTAGCCCTGGGGAGGGTTCAGTGGGAGCATCTTGCAGCAAGACCCCATCTTCCCCTGGGCTGTGGAGGGGAGGGGGTTGACATGGGGGAACTCCAGGCTTGGTGGGTGCCCAAACTCAGCTGGACGAGGCCCAGAGCAACCCGTCCTCCATTTGGAGGGAGGGCTTGGATGGGAGTGCTGGTTGTCTGCACCCCCTTGCCATGTCCCCTTGGCACTGTCTCCCCGTGGATCCCGTGCAGCCTCGGTGGCATGGCCAGAGCTGCTGTCTGGCAGCAGCGTCAGAGCATCTCCCGTGGGTGCTCTGTGCTCCGGGGCGATCGATGGTGTTGTTTACCAGCTGGTTAATCACTGACGGGCCGTGTCACCACTACCTCTGCCTTGTGCCACCGTGTCTCTCCCCAGCCCCGAGCATCTCCTGGCAGAGCTGCACAGAGGCTGCCGAGCTGCCTGGGGGGCTCCCAGCCCCTTGCCAAGAGCCCACTTCGGCCAAGCCCTCGGGAGGGGGCAGGCAAAGAGGAACGCTATCGATTTTGGCCCTTGAAGTGCAGCATCAATAATTCAGCACGGAGCGATCGGTCCCTGGCTGGGAGGAGGGGTGGGCAGGAGGTAAAAGCCGGGAGAGCCGCCTCAGATGAATATTAGATGAAGCTGCAGATTGCTATCGGCGTGGTAATTGGTGCCTGCCCGGGGCTGGCAGGGCTGTCCCTGCCTTGTCCGGGTCAGAGTCTGTGCACAGGGCAGATGGGATTGGGGGTGTCTTGGAGAGTCCTTCCCATGGGTTGTGTTGGCCCCTGCCTTCCCCGGGAGGCTGCTGCTGCTGCCCCAGAGCTGAGGATGTGGAGGGGGAAGCGGGGCTGGAGAGGGTGCCCAAGCCCTCCAGAGTCTGGGGAGAAACAGGAGGAGGCAGCAGCCTGCCTGAGTGCCCCTGGCACCCCAAAGGATGCCAAGCAGGAGGGTGGTGGCAGCGAGCAGCACGGCTGCCTGCTGGTGCCTGGCTCAGGGTGACGGTCCCTCCGGACGGGGGAGAAAATGAGCATCCCTGCAGCGCTGGAGAGAGCGAAGCCTCATGCCAAGCCCTGCTTTCCTCCTGCTTTTCAGGAACCCCTTTGGCAGGAGCACATCCTCTTGGCTGCAGGAGGGACCGGCCCTTCAGGGCGCGATGCCAAGGCTCCCCGGGCTCAGGGCATCACCCAGCCTGGTGGGTTTGATGGACCCAAGAGGTCAAGGCGAGCTGGCTGTGGGTGGGGTAGGTCTTGGAGCATTGACACCCAGCCTGGGACAGCTGCAGCTGCTCCAGGGTAATGTTTGGGGTTCCCTGGGCTGGGGTCCACCAGGGATTTCCCCATGCACAGCGGGTTTAACCCTTGCCTTTCCTTTCTTAAGCTGGCTGTAGGGCTGGGCAGAGTCTGGTGGCTGAAACAGAAGAGAGCTGCTGGCTTATGGTGAGGGCTTGCAAAGCGGGAGGGGAAGGGGCAGAGGTATATGGTAGTCGTGGCCAAGGTAGTCATGGCCAGGGTCTGGCTTTGGATCCCAGCATAGCCTCAGCACACTGAGGTAGCTGGGCCAGTGCTGGAATCTTAGAGAAGAAGGTCTCCTGTGGACTCTGTCCTCCCATTTGTGGAGCATCTTCTACATGCTCTGCACCCAGGGACATCAGCCCTGGTTATCACCGTGAGCATGGGATGGGCTGTGCTATCTTGCCCTGCCTGGAGAAGGTGAAGCTGGGGGAGAAGGGGACTTGGCCCTGGGTCTTTGGCCCTTGGCTGTGGCCCCTGTGGCTGGGACCAGAGCAGGGCATCTCTCCCAGCACTGAGCTCCCTGAGGACTGCAATGCCCGTGGCACGCACCCTGCCAACTCTGCCACTGCGTGGTGTCACGTCCTGCTCATGCCCAGCCAGACTAATTAGCTTGTTGAATCTCTTCTGCCTCCGGCCTCGTGTTAATCACTTTTCACATTGCTTCCCTCCCAGTTCCCTCTGGCCTGGCTTGTTCTTTCTGTTGCTGATGTGCCTGGAGAGGGGAGCGAGGGGACCTGGTTGGATGGATGGAGCTGGGACCCCACTCTGCCCCATCCTGCCCCAGAGACAGGCTCTGAGCCAGTGGATGGAGGAGCAGGGAGATTCCACAGGGAGGTGAGAAAATCACAGGCTGGAGAAAAAACAATATAGCCAGGGAGTGAGGGGACCTATCGGGGCAGCCTTTCTTTGCAGCCCTGCTCCTCTGCTGGGGGGTGAAACCTTGGAGTCAAATGGGAAAGGCTGTTTCGAAGCCGGCCTGGGGTTGTCTAGCCTGGGGTTGTGTTGGGCTGCAGGTGCTGTGAGAGCTCAACAGGGTCTCCTTCACCTCTCCCCTGCGAGGGGCAGGATTAGACCCCAGGACTGGGCACGGGTGGGAATAGAGGTGCCCTGGCCAGGGCTCTGTGGGGTTGTTGGAACCCGGAGAACAGGCAGCAGGAGGTCCCTGCACCGTCTGTGCTTGGCTGCAGCATCCCCTCCCAGGGTGCAGGAAAATCACAGAATCTTCTAGGTTGGAAGGGACCTTAAAGATCATCTTGTCCAACCGTCAGCCTAACTGACAAAAATAGACACCCACACAGCAAACAAGGAGCATCATCACTAACCCATACCTCCCA